CTCGTGACTCGTTACCACACGATCGTCAGTTTCAGTGCAGTGGATCCAGGGTACGCGCATGCGTTCGTGTACCGTGCTTACAAGGTCACATTACGTGTGTCGTGATTAATAATAAATAGAAACCTACACAATTTGCAGTAGTACCAAATATGTTTTGAAATTTCCAACTTGTCCAGTGGTTTGCTCTCGCCTCTTGGCAGTACTCTACCTGGTGGATGATGGCACTGTGCCGCCCGTGTGCATGCCCTCGCCCTACATGCATCTCTGCATGTGCTCGTGCAGGGTTCATCGAGGCAGCATCTGCTGACCACTGCCCTCGTTGAAAAACAGAGGAGGAAGGAAGGAAAAGATCCCGTTGACAAGTTGACTGTCACTAGCGACGTTCGCTACGCTGTGAAAACCCAGGAAAGGCAACCAAACTTGCTTCTGCCCGTCTGTTTGTTCCTTTCGAAAAGGGCCGTGTTTCTTTTTACGGCGAGTAAAGATGCCAAGTACTTTTATGGCATCTGCGACGTGAGTCGATTAGCGTCGGCTTCGTTGTCAGAAACGGCAGCGGTGTTAATCCACCACCCAGGCCGATCATTTGTGCGGACAAACACACAGAGACAGCGGTAAAAAAAATACACTGGCAGACGCTCCTCTGCACGTCTGAATGATGGATGGTGGTGCGATCTGCGCGAGGAGCGCATGCATGCAGGCAGAGCGCACACCGTACGATAGATAGATGATGGATGGATGGATGAGGCGAAACACTTTTTGATTATTTCCCCGTCCCTAATGTAAGACGTTTTTGAACTAGCAGGGAGTAGGACGGAATATGAATCACTTCGGCCATCGGCTATAGGCTCGGCGTCATGCGCGCGTAATAATGTACAGTAACAAAGTCGGGCAATGGGTACTGCTGCCATGGCATCCATCTTTTTATTTCCGCGATTCTGGAGTAAGTCATAATTAAGTAGACTTCTTCTTTTTTGAGAATCATAATTGGGTAGACTTTGGTAGCATGCAGTTGACGTTAACACAGTTGAAAGCGATCTACTATAGTTGACATTGGCACAGTTGGTAACGACAAAGACGCACTTGATAATGGTGCATCGTGACGAGTGCATGTGTCTCATCAACTGCACAGTGTCTTAACACCAGCTTGTATCTGAACCACATCGTCTCAAATACGTCCTTTTAACTTTCGCCCGTTACCGTATGCTTGTTGGTTTCTCAAAGTATACAACACACACACTCACTCACGTAAAGGCACCAGGTCCCACATAAAAATTGCAAAAAAGAACTTCGAAAGAAAGAGAATAACTACGAGCCCCCATGCCTCAGCTGCATCGGCCACCAATGGCCTCCATTGCCCGCCAAGCCAAATGCCCTCTTCATCGCCGTTGAGGTGCATATCGAAAAGGAGATGCATTCGCCCTCATGTTACGTGCTTTGGGTAAGAAAGAAAAAACTCACGGTCTTAGAAAAAGATCGTCGCCGACTTTTGCTATAGCCTGAAAAACCTCGGCAGACACACCACGATTTTTTGTTTGTAAAAAGTAGCGCACTTTTGCTGGTGAAAAGTAAACAGTAAATTAGATTGCTCTCTGCTCTCATTTTTTCTCCTTGCGTTTCAGGGAAAAGAAGACTGTCATTGCCATTTGCTTTACTGTCGGGTTTCGCAGACACCGTGCGCACGAGGTATGGCGGCAGTAACCCCGGCAGAGACATCGGTGACCTACTCGACTCCCAAACCCGAGGGCGATCATTCGCGCGGTCGTGCGTAGGTACGGCGAGGGAGGGCTGGATGATGGTGGCGAGGCGTGTGCACCGGTGGCCAACCAACGGGGTCCGTCCGATGCCGGTGCAGGGCGCACACACGGGACACGACTGCCAAAGCCAAAAAGGTAGTGGAGTAAGAGCGTCTACCGTCGGGCGCCTTAAACCCGCCCCATACATTCGGACAGCCGTTCGTACTAACCGATCATGTTTCTTCGCAGACAAACACCTCAAACGGGCCTCAAATGCTCGGCCTGACCGGCACCTTCCTATCCAGCCAAAATATGGGGCGTATATCGGGTGTTCTGGCATGCCCGCCACATCGGATTGACGAAGGGTTCCCACACGGAAACACCCGAAAACCCAACGATCTGACAGACGCGGCGTCCGTCGCCGCGTGGTGCCGCTCCGGCTCGTCACCCAAGATTGAATCCGGTTATTTAAGCCACCCGGCGTCCCGCAACCCTAACACATCCACTTCCCCCCTCTTCGCGCCGCTAGTCCGAGCCCATCCACCTCCTCCCTCTCCCGCTCCAGCGCTCCGCTCACGGTCCGATGCTCCGGCACTTCGTCATGGTCCGGAGCATGATCACGTACTACGCCATGCTGATGCTGGAGCGCCGCACCGAGATCCAATAGGAGATTCGGACGAGGCAAGCAGTGCGCGACGCCCACATCGTTGCCGGGCTGCCTCCGGACTTGCCGGAGCCAGAGGAGGAGGAGTAGCCTGGCGGAAGAGGGGGAGGAATAGATGGATCCAATGGAGGTGGAGGAGGCGGAGCAGTAGGAGCCGGAGCAGTAGCTGTCAGGCTTCAACATGGAGCATACGGAGGCGGAGTTCGCCGTTGCCCGGTCCGACGAGATGGCGGAGCAGCAGACCATCCCGGAGTCTATCCAGGATGAGGCCTATGTGGAGGCCAACGGAGCGTTCCTCCGGCGGGAGCAGGCGAAGACGGAGTTTTCGACGCGCTCTTCTCCGAACTTGACGCGGAGGCACGGGAGCTGCAACTACCGCCGATGCTGTTAGAGCAGGGCACGGAGATCGTCGACATCTCCGACGACGAGTAGTTAGGTGATCGACATAGTACGTACGTTTTTTTAGTCTGCATGTCTTTTGTATGGATTTGAAAATCTAGTATGAGATGTCCGACTACAACACTGAAAATTTGAGACATATCCGGTCAGTGCCCGCGGACATTTAGGAGGTCGGATTTGTCAAGTCCGGTTATAGATGCTCTAAGTAGAATGGATAGATGACGTGAAAAACTTTTGTCGAGTGGACCGGAGGAGAGAATCTGAATCCGGGGGATTGGTCTGGGCCTGGCATGGCTCGCGACCTCGGCGTCCTGTGCTTGTGGGACAGGTGACGCCGGGTAGCCGGACCGGACGAGGCAAGCACGCACGCACGTACGTGTCCGCACGCAGCTCCGGCGAGATCGGCCGCGTCCATGGAGGAGTGAGCGCGACCCATGGTTTGTCAACCAACCAGCAGGCACGAGACGAGTGGTCAGTGAGCAGCGAGCTGATGAGCTTGCTTGGTACGTACGGGGATGGGGATGGGGCAGTCCAGCTGAGCTGAGGTTACTGTGAGGCCACATGCACGTATCACTCATGCCACCAAGCGAGCAGCTGTTAACAAAAGCATCGATAGATAAGAGCAAGTACAATAAGTTGACGTAGCGGGCTCTAACCCTTTAAATGATATATTTTTGCTTATTTGACAGAAAAAGAAGAGGAGATAGGAGAAAAGAGAAGCGGGCTACAAACTAACAGTCCGCTTCAGTATGTGTTTTCTAGACACTTTATGAGAGAGGAAAGTGAGACATGTATCAACAAAATAGTAGCCTCTCCGTCCAAAAAAACTTGTCCCAAACATCCATTTTAGATACAAGCTTTCCCGGATGAAAGGAGTACAATATTTACTTACATCTAAATATTGTACTTGCCGGTTATAAGCTTGGTCGTAGATGACATGCAACTAACCGGAGTATTAACCGTGCTCTAAACAAACAAAGATGCTCCCTCCCTGACCCGTCCGGTTCATCCGGTCACCGTCCAACAGGGACGCACATGGGCACGGGCCGAGGAAACGCAGACATCCATCCATCCGCCGTGGCCGCATCACTCGGCTCAGCTCCCCAGCTGAGCTGAGCTGCTCAAGTGATTAATTAACTAAATAAAGCCAAGGAGGAGAGAGTGAGGGAGGGATGCGAGGCACGTGTGGCGTGAGCGAGACTGACGGATTTGACAAGCAAACGCAACCGGTCGAGTGGAGTGTGAGCGAGCGGTATTGCAAATCGCCGCCGGCCGGCCAGTGGATTACCGCCACCGGTGCGGTAGGCTGGACCGGAAGGGAACGCGGGCAAGGGCAAAGGGCGCCGCGGCCCATTAATGAGCATTCACGTGCTCTGCGCCACACTCTGTTGCCCTCCTCCCGTCTCCCTCCCTCGCTCGCTCGCTCTCCAACCCCCACTTCCCACTACCTCCCTCAGCGCCATTGCGGCCATTGCCAGGTACTCCTCCTTCTAGCTGCTACAGACAGACATTTCACCTGGGTCGCCCCGCGCGATCGGTGCCGGTGCTGCTTCCCTGCCCGGGCCTGCTCTGCCGGCTACGGTCTCCCTGAGCAAGCGAGGATTCGCATCTCTCTCTCTCTGACGCCTCGCCGGGGCTCGGCCGGCCACGGATCGGCGGTGTACCACCCGGCAGGCGGCCCCGCACCGCCGCTCTCGCCGGCTGCCGCGGTGGCCTGAGCATTCCCGCGAGGAGGATTGCAGAGGAGGAGACACAGCCGACGGGGAGATCCGCGAGTCCGGCAGAATCTGACAGGCGGTCCGCTCACCGGCGTTCGACGACGCCGCACCGCAGGTACGGGCGCGATTCCCTCCCCTCGCCGCCTCCTCATTCTCTCCGGGCGGGCGGGCGGGTGCCACACTTTGCCGTTTTGGGGGGTCGGCGAGGTGACCGTTCGTCCCTTCTCATTCCGCCCCGTCGCTTTCCTCTTCCCCAAAAGCGGCGCCTTTCCAGGCCGAGCCGCCCTCCCCCTACCCTCGATCAATCTCTCCACCATGTAGAGTACCCATCTCCTTTCCGTAAATCCATCCAAAAAAGTCAAGAAACATTCACGCCGCGCGGCCCGTGCGTCCTGCGTCCTTCCGCCCGCAGCAGCAATCCATGAATGCTATCAGCAATTGCCATAACCTCCGTCTTCCCCCTATCCTACCCCGTCCCGCCGATCCATGGGGCCCGTCGCCATTGCCGGCCCCGAGCACGACCTCACCTCCCGCGTCCTCTTCCTCCCGGCGTGCACGGGCCAGAGAATAACACCACCAGTTAATAATAAAACCAGAGGAGGAAGTGGAGAGCCCTTGCGCGTTCCTGCCGGCCACCGCGTCGCCGGCCCGGCGGCTCTTCTCCTTGGCCGTTCCTCGCCGACCAGGTTCCCAATCACGAGATTCCCGCCCGCCGCCCCTTTTAACAAATCAATCCACTATTTTTAGCCTAGTAGTATATCTGATCCCATCACTTTTTTTTATTCATCTTTCACCGCCGTACCGCCGGTGATTCCCCTCGCGGTCGCTTTGGGTTGGGGGCTTGACTTTCCCCATCGATCCGGGCGCCGCCGTCGCTCTCGCAGTTGCCGCCGCAGCTTCACGCGGCCGGGGAAAGAGGATTCGATCTTTGCCGCGCACGCCGCTTTCGCTCTCCCTTTCGCGCGGATTCGATCGCCCTCCCCGTTCCGGGCAGGGAATCCCCCGCCTTTCGCGGCGTGCGGTTGCTTCCGGCGCCCGCGAGGGCCCGTCGCCGCATTGGGTGGGAGGAGATCACCGGAGCCGGCCGAGATAAGATTTCCTACTCTCGCCCGAGCGGGGCAGGGAGACAAAAGCCGCTGTGCGCGCACATTCGCGCCCCCATCTCCGTCCCCTTTTCCGCGCCCGAGCTTTTCCGGCTGCGAAATCGCCATGATGAGCTCCAGTGGCTCCGAGGTGGGTGAGCGCGCCTCACGGGAGTGACCACCACCACCATCTTTCCTGCCTCGTCGTCGACGCCAAACCGCTTTTTGTTCCGTTCTTGGGAGCTTGTCCCGTCTCGTGCTCTCCCTACCCCCCATCACCTGTACACACACGATTCAAAATAGTTTGTAATTTCAAAACCAAAGCTGGCTGCTGTTCATCTCTGCCCTGCTTCAGATTTTGAAAAATATATTTCCTTGTGCGTGCGTACCTATACCTACCGGCTCCTGCATTGAAGGCTGCGGTTGTTAATGCCGTCCTCTGTGCAGATGAAAGGGGCTCAGGATAGGAAGCAGAAGAAGAAGCAGGACCTGCAGGTGCTGGCGCCATTCCCCGGCTGCCTCGGCAGGGTCATCAACATGTTCGACCTCAGCAACGGCGTCGTCGCCACCAAGATGCTCACCGACAAGGCGCACCGAGACGGTATGCAGCTCCTCGCCCTTCTGTTCTGCATTTCTTGCTGCTTTTCTGCTTCCTGTTATGCGGCGGCGTTCTCCTCGGCCGGTCTCTGATGCGATTTACCATGTGCCTTGCAGTTTCTCCGGCTGGCAAGGACCGGAGCGGTAGTTTCAAGATGGCGAGCAATCAGTTTCCGGCTCAGATGGAAGATAAACATGTATGTGATCATGTCAATGCCTCTTGTTCTTGAGCTTTGTTAACTGATATCTGTTCTCTTGTGTACTGCAGAGAGACAGTCAGCAAAGGAGGAGCTCTCCAACGAAAAGATCAAACTCGCCCACCAACAGATCTGGTGTGTCACCCGTCAAGATGCTCATGGAGCAGGACATGTGGAGAGAAGGGGTGCCTGATGATGAGCCTCTCAATGTTGTTGCCAGGTTGATGGGTCTGAACGACGCACCATCCGTCCACCAATCTGATTTGGGATCAGGAAGACGGTTCAGTAAGGAAGACGATGGCCGAAATGTCAAGCCAAAGAAGGAAAGCAGATGCCATCAGAACCAGAAGGCAGGCACGCGGCATGAGGAGACATGGAGACGTGATCAGCCTTCGAAGATCGATAGCAGCAAGAACAGACACCAAGGAAATGATCCTTCTTGTGAGAGGAGAATGTCCCTTGTCCGCGAGAAGTTTGCTGAAGCAAAACGTCTGGCTACGGACGAGAAGCTTCTCCATTCAAAGGAGTTCCAAGAAGCGTTGCAGTTTTTGAGCTCAAATAAAGACTTGTTCCTGAAGTTCCTAGATGAGCCAACTCCTCTGTTATCAAACAATCATTATGGGTTCGATCCTGTTGCACCACCTTCAGAAATAAAGCAAATAACCATACTGAAACCAGCAGAATCAGTGAAGAGAAAGGGCAACATTCATGCCGGGAGGCAGCTATATTCAGAGGGAAATGAAGCTGAAGGCAACAGATGCTGGCGCCACCAGAGCTTAAATGTCAACCCGGCAAATTCAACTTTGTCCGAACCAACAAGAATTGTAGTACTAAAGCCAGGACTTCCAAAGTCTCATGAAGATATGATCCCAGTGTCCTCATTAGAATCATCAACAGAACCAGATAGTGACGACGATAGTGTGATGGCAGTTGATGAAACAGTATCCTCAAGAAGACTGGCCAAGGAGATCACTTGGCAGATGAGGATGCGCTTAAAAGATAGCCAGGATGAAGATAGTTCGGTCTCTTATGAATACCATGATACTTACGTTGAAAATAGCTCCTTTAGTAAGTCAGAGGTTGAAACTGCTAAAGAAGTGTCTGGTGAAATAAGTGAGGATCTGGAGTTTGGTACTCCCACATCTGGCCGTTCCTGGGATTTCCTGAGCCGGAGTGACAGTCCTTACTCTGCATCATGTTCTAGTCGGGCATCCAATCGGCGTGAACCGTCGGTGGTTAAGGAAGCCAAAAGGCGGATTTTGGAGAGATGGTCGGTGGTATCGTCAACTGTTAGCGGTGAGGAAGAAAGGGGAGCACGTAGAAGTGTCGGCACTCTAGGTGAGATGCTCACAATCCCTGAAGGGAAAAAGGATCAGGAGGAGTGTGGGGGAATAACATTAGAGAGCAGATCGCCTGAGCTGGATACTGCAGATCCTTTCTCATGTTTGCCAAGGTCTCGGTCTCTTCCAGTTTCTTTGTCTTATGGAGGCAGGGAGTCGAACAGAGTTGCCGTTGGTTCTCAGGAAGCTGACAATGAAAAAAGTAGGAAGTCATCATCATTCAGGGAAAGAGTTTCCAGCCTGTTCTCTAAAAACAAGAAATCAGCTCGGGAGAAGTTAGGTCCACCTGGAGTTTTGTCTGCTAATAATACACTCAAGAATGGAAGTCCCATGGCTATTAGTGATGGTAGTGAAGGCTCTAGCCATTTTACACTGGAGAATCCACATAAAACTACTTTGCTTGATGCTGATGAGGATGCTCTGCAAAGAATCATGGCTAGTTCTTGTCACACTAATAATGTGGCCAGCATCCCTGCCAAGGTAATTGCCCAAAAAGTTATCTTATTACAGCTATTGTCCGTACCTTTTCTTTTTACAGACCTGTAGATTTCTTATTACAGGTGTTATTCCTACTTCTTTGGCCAAGTTAAATTACTAAACTTTTGCTCTGTCCTGTTAGGGTGTTTCTCCTTTGCCAAGTCTTGGTGTCCCAGGATTCTTTGGTGAGTCTCAAGAGCAACCAAGCCCTGTGTCCGTACTGGACCCGGATGGACCGTTTCTCTGTGATAACAATAGGAGGCTACTGTACTCAACTGAAAATTTCATCACCGCATCCCCACGTAAGCTGTAAACCAATCTCATCAAACTATTAACTGAAAGAGTATCATTGTGTAATGTCATCCATTGTGTCTGCAGAAATCGTGTCCAGGTCTCCACATATCGGATCATTTTCAAGATCCTTGTCATGGGAAGATCCCCCATCAGAAGTGATGTCACCAAATTCTTTGAGACTAGCAAGGCTTTTCTCCAAGGCTGATGATGATCAAGACTCGTTGACGATTATCCAGAAGCTAGTCTCCTCAGCTGGCATGGATAGAAAAAGTTGCGTATTAGCCAGCCCTCTGGACCCAAGGTTGCTTGAGAAGTTGTCAGATCACCAAGCAGAGGAGATCAAGTCGAGGGAAAAGCGGTCAAAAGAGAGGCTTCTCTTTGATGCCGTCAATGAGGCGCTCACCGAGCTTACTTGGACAACAGAACTGTCCGCGTACCCATGGGGCCGGACATTTTGTTCGCAACGCAAAGATCGTGATGATGATTCCTCCTGTAACTCCGCCGCCGATGAAATTTGGCGGGTTATAAGGAACTGGTCGATACTCGACAAGTATCCGCCCGGCGAAGTCATCGAGAGGAACCTTCTGCTGGAGATGATCCTGAAGAGGGAGGTGGTGGAGACCGCCACCGCCGACACGACGCGGCTAGAGACGTTTGAAGTCTGCGCCATGGTTTGCACGGTGGTTTTGGAGGACCTGCTTGAGGAGGCCCTTGTAGATTTGACTAACAGCACCTAGTGAGGTACCTCCACCCCTAACTATTGATTTTGCCTCTCCCCAACTCGGTAGTGTTTCTGTTCGCGTGATGATACTTGCTCTGCTGTAACACTTCTCTATTTATCGTGTTACCGCAGAAAATGTGATGCCAAATGTGTGCCTTTTGCTAATTTGTCCTCTCGTTTTCTGATATAGGGGTGATGCTGTAATTAGCTGATTGTTTGCCGTTTTGACAAATAAACCATGTCAGTGTTGAGGTTACCGCCTTTTCTTCCTTATATAAAACATAAGGCAGTAATTAATTTTGTCCTCCTGTAGTAAGCTGTTGGTGTTACTTGAATTAGAATTACGATCTCATTCATGATGATGAAGGCGAACTAGAAAACAAATACAGTACAAAGGACAGTAACATATCACTTGATTTTGTGTGGTCCAATAGGATAAGTCACTAGAAGCCATGATCTGATCCACAGGGCATCAAAAGAAGCAGCCCAACGCAGCTCACAAGGCACTGTAATCTTATTTTGTGAGGATCCATGTCAACCGTGATTTGTCTATGGTATGTGTTCAGAGCACCATTTGTTTACTGCAACCAGTCCTATTGGCTAAAACCCCACTGGAGCAAAACAATGTGCCAGTAACTGTCTTAGCAGCAAGGCCAATGCTGCTTGGCCGTTTGGCATGTTATTAGGGCTAATGAACCCGACAGACAACCGCCTCGTCGCCGCCGCGGTATCGGCATATTTGGGGGCTCGCAGGAAATAAGGCCACATGAGATGAGAGGAATCTCTTGATCTTGAGTTAGTTTTAGTAGATTATCAAAGCTGCCAATGGGTAGTATATTTTGACTGAAGCTGGAACCACGGCGTCAAACATGCATTTGATCCCTGGTGTGGTGTTTCGTGCAGTCCCAGCTTATATTATACAATCTGACCCATATCCTCATATCCTGATGTGTTGTTGTGTGATAGGGTTAGTGCTGTGGCTGTGCTTGGTCACTCATTCATGCGTGGACTATAGAACTGTAGCCGCATGTGGAGTGTGCCAACGGGGCCCACATGTCAGGCAGTGGCTGGCCCATGCAGGCCACCCATGATCCATCCATCTCCACATGACTGCATCTGCATGCATGGCATCATCTCCATTGCTGTGCAGTGAGGTCTACTTATTACTGTGGGGTGTGGACCTGGGGGAAGAAGGGGGGCCAAGGCCCAAAGGCTGGTGTGTTTGTGCGCCTGTTGATCCTTTTCAGGCTTAGCATGTGAGTTCCCTGGGGCACCCTCCGCCTAACCTCGCCATCGTCTTCCTCCTCCTGCCATCCTGACCCAAATGACCAACCTGCCTCTGCTGCATGGTGCACAGACCACAGGCCCTTGTTTCTAGGGCAAGTTGCAGCGCTGCCATGTTGTAATAAATGGTGTGGATCAGTGGTACTTGTGGCGGTAAAGAAAACAGTGCTGCTGCTGCTGCTGCTGCTGCGTATTCAGGTCTCTGCGTCTCTAGTCTTTATTTCCTGATGATGCCTGCCTCCTCCAAATTATCTTCCCACTCCTGCTGCTGCTGCTGCTGCTAAACAACAGATTAGTGGCGCTTGTGGAGCATCAGCGTGGTCTCTGCAAATCTGGCTGGCACCTCATCTATTTCATTTATTATCATTGCCTGGATCAGTAGAAAGTTTTGTGGTACAGCACTAGTAGGAGTAGGACTGTGGGATCGATCTGATGGTGCGAAGCTGTCAGCGCTCAACACAAGTGAGCAGTGAGCAGTGCCTTCTTTCTTCAGCGTTTGCAGTATAGATAGATGGCAATAATGCATAGTGCACAATCCAAAGTTTGGAGTGAGCCAGAGAAGCAAGCATGGCCGCCACGAAACAGTTTTGATTTTGAAATCTGCTTCATTCGTTATGGCTTGGCTGGCTACATGGATGTGGTCAACCATTATTATTTCTGAGTTTGAGTCGATGATTGCTGCTGGTGGGACTGTGGAGTGTGGATGAAATGGAGTGTAGCGGTAGTGGGCAGTGCTACAGCAGGCGGAGGAGAGGAGGAAGAAGAAGCCGTTGGAGTCGCTGGGAGGGGCATTCAAGGCCGCAACGGTTCTCTGCTCTCTCTCTCTCTTTTTTTTTTACTTTCTTTCCCGGGAAAAAAGGGTGCAGCATTCTGCTGACACTTTGGTACAGTACCCGTCTTCTCCTTTATTTTTTTGTTGAATCTGGATCTGGGTGTGGGTGGGGCCATGCTTGTACTTCCATGGCTCTGCTTCATTCGTTATGTGATCTGTCTACAGTGACGACGAGGTGGTGAACAGATAATAGGCAGCCATACGTACTACTCCCTTCCTTCCGAATTATTTGGGGCAGACATGGATGTATCTAGATGTACTCCTTTCGGTCCTTTTTAGCTCGCATATAAGATTTGTCTGAAGTCAAGCCTTGTAAAGTTTGACAAACTTTATAAAAAAAAATATATCAACATTCACAATGTGAAATCAATATCAGTAGATGCGTCATGACTTAAGTTTTCATATTTGTGTAACTTTGGCATGGTAGATGTTGATATTTCTTCATATAAATATGGTCAAACTTTGTGAAAATTGACTTCAGACAATTCTTATATGCGGAGTAAAGGATCGGAGAGAGTATTTTAGCTCTAGATACATCCATTTTTCCGACGAGTAATTTGAAACGGAGGGAGTACTACACGTACAGTGTGTGCTGTGTTTTATGCTAGCACCGGAACACAAATGCATGTTTTTCGAAAAGAAAATAAAGGGTACTTAGTAGTTATTCTGGTAGTAGTACACGATATCCGGCCGTGCATGTGCGTATGAATGCGGCGGCGGCCTCCGTCCGCCCTGTGGGCTGTGGCAGTGTCGTCGAGGGTCGCTTGCATGCGTAGCTGCTGCCTCTCCTCGCTCAGAAAAATAAATGTTGTGTGTGCCTCGGAAATGGCCACACGCAACGCAACATGGGCATGGGCAGGCCGCGTCAAGATGCGCAATTTACGAGGCTAGCAGTATTCAACTCACGTCCTGGAGCAGAGACGCGGATACGGCGGCCTTGGTATCCGCACCGTACAGAAGACACAGGAGCAGCCTCAAACATTTCTTCAACCGACGCACCGCCGACACACGATGCATGCTTTTTTTTCGCCATTTATTTGAGAGGGAAGGGAGCACACGCATGAGTTGGGTTACGAGCAACGGCAAGTCTCCGGTCAAAAGCAAGCGTCTTTTGCAAAGTTTGCAAAGAAAAAAACCTGAAGTACCGCAAAAAAAAAGGCCAAACAAATGCATTGCATACCGGACTTTGTGGCATGGACGCATGGTAGATCCACTCGTATGCATCGGTATCTTTGTGCAGACAGGGCCTCCTTGGACGACATGGTGAGTTAATTTGTGCCTTTTATCCCGGAGATGTGTTGAATTGAATGTAGACAAGGTGCTTCCACCTCCCACACGGAGGAGGAAGAAGAAGAAGATGGGTGGACCGGCCGGACGCTACCTACGGCGCATGCAACGGCAGCTAGTCCGCGCCTACCAGTAGCGGGGCATGCAATCAGTTGAGTTGCGTGCATGCAATGCATTGCAAGTAGCGCGCGCAATCAGTTTCTCCTCTCCTCTCCTCTCCTCCCTCCTTCATGTGCAAGTGCACGCCCACGCTAGCACCCGACTGGACCAGCCCAAACCAACAACCAGCAAGAGGAAATCATCCATCCATGATCCAAGCTGCTCCGGTGGTCCTCGCTCTCGCCGGCCGGCCGGCCGGCCGGCAGATGGAGCGAGCTAAATAACACCGCTGGTCCATCCGTCAGATCACCCACGTCTCCATGCACATAAATAACACGGCAACTACATCCCATGTGTACGCATCTGCATGTACGCAAGAAAACGTATGGCGGTACGTCGGAGGGTATTCATTAGCTGATGGCGCGCTCGCTGGTCCTGCCTGCAAATGGCAACCAACGCAGACTCACAAACAGTGAGACATTTTAGACCGCACGTCTACATGGTGCATGCAATAATAGTAACTACCAGCACAGTGCTAACTATAATTAACTAACGGGCAAAAAAAAGACCAATCAACAGCAACAGGTCACGCATCTATCATGTTCATAGCTAGGCTGCTGCATATGCTGCTGTGCGTGCGCCCACGAGAAAACACGGCATGTGCGATGATCAGTGGCACTACGTGTGCGATGTGCCACTGTGCGTATGTACACATGCACAGGCGTACTGTACGCACATGGACGCGTGTACGTACGTGGTTAATTAACGAGGGCGACCCGCAACTGGTATTTATCAGTTTGCGCGCGATCGTGCATGTGTTTAACGCACGCACGCACGTACGCCGGGGAATTGATTAGCATCTCCACTTGGCTGCAGGGCGTAAGTATCTTCACTCCATCTTTTTAATCCACCTGCAAACCAAAAAGAAGGGTTGGTTAACTGCCCCAGGAAAAAAGAGCATTATCAAGATCGGATCAGCTAATTACTACTGAGTTGATGGTTGATGGTAGAGTGTAGTGCAGTGCAGGCAACACATACGTACAAGAAAGCAGGTCGGCAGGAGTTAATCAGGACACATACATGCATGCATGCGTAAGTGATGAGATGCATTAAAATGGATAGGTCCCTTCCCACCTGATGATCAGCAACGGTTTCACCATGCAACATGCATGCCCAGCAAGGAGGCGAGCATACCTAGGTTGCCTGAAAATTTCTCAAAACATCGACTGAAGCCAGAATTGTTTTCACTTTTCAGGCAACTATCAAAAAGCAATTGCGGCCCAGTGAAGTATCAGTGGCACTATGCATTACTAGCCGCGGTTTTAGCAAGCGGAACAGATTTTCTAACACAGCGTATCTATATATCTAAATGGTCCAGCGTGCAGACACACACGTGGACCGCGGATGAACTGCAGCAAACGGTCAGGACCACGGAACTGTTGTACCAAACGCTCACGAGTCAACTTGCATCTGTACATAATAAGTTGTTGCATTGGCAGCTACCATACCAGTGGCAACCAATAATAATACCCTTTGTTTCCCCATACAGCACGGTACTTCAAGGCCCATCATCATGTGCACGGCAAAACCAAAAAGGAACAGCAAAGATCGTGATCGACACCACGGTTCGGATCACTGAAATTCGCGGCTGCAGTAATAGGGAACTAAATCCACATTGTGGTTTATCGGAATTTTAGCGCTAGCAGTTTGGTTTCAAAAAGCAAGGACTCTAGCTGCACAGCAAAAAAACCCAAGAAGGCTAATCAACCATGTATTTGTTCGTCGTTCACTGATGACCTGCAACAGCCGCGGCGTTTTTCAGCAAGCACGGAAGGGTCAGGTGATGCTGAACGCCACGGTGGATGGAACCTTAGGAGCCAGGTGGGTCGAGGCCATCTCCGTAGCGTAACGGCACCTTTCTTGGTCTTCCGACTTGTGCTTCTCCTTCCTGACGAAAAATGGCTCATATGCACGCGTCTCGACTTGCAAGCTCTTCAGTGCGGGCGCCCTTCTCAGCAGAAAGTAGAGGAGCTCCATCAGTTCCGGTTCCCCGCTAAACCCTTTGATTACGATAATGTGGAGCCTCGCAAATGTCAAATCCTCAGGCCATGTCATGTTGAGCTCATTAGGTTGTTCCTTAAGCTTGGAAAACCCCTGCATGGATAAGCTGGTTAACATGAGAAAGAACATCGAAAGGTACACAACTGTTGGCATGTTCTGATGCAAAGTGTGTAGAAATCACAAGTGCACAGCTTACATGCACCCCGAAGTATTCGAGTAACGGAGCTGCTTTAAGGAGATACGCAAGCGAGCAAATGCACTCTTTCCAAGATTTCAGCAGAAAGAAGACGATCATCTTCAAATTAGTAAACCTGAAAGTGTGCCGCAGCGCACGAGGTACCTGGAGGGAGACCAAGAAGAAGACTTGAATTCAGCATGTAGACAGTTTCTAAAGACCATCATGCATACCAAGGGGCAGAAATCTTACGTACTTGTACAGGCGCAGGACATTGCAAGATCAACGTTTCCAACTTTGGAAGCTTAGGAAGCGCACTTATGAAGTCTAGAGGGCATTCATCCATCTCCGTGAAATAAACACGGATTATATCAAGAAATGGTGCATATTTGTACTCGATATTTACATTGTGTCCCTTGTACGCGAACTTGTCAAGATTGTCAGCATGAATACAGACACTACTTAAGTCATTGCAGAATTCAACATTCAAATTCAGCAATTGTGAACAAGTAATCGTCAAATGAAACAATTGATCGCAGAACTCTATAATCAAGCTTCGGAGAGCACAGCAACTGGAAATAATATTTGAAACAGCTGCATCAGCTAATGACACACGGCTGAGTTTAAGGAAATGAAGACAAGCAAAGCCACTGAGATTTTCAGGCGTTGTTCCTAAACTGCAGTTGGACAGAGTTAGCTCGCCCAACTGGCAACCTCTCCCATTTGAAAATGGTGATAATATGAAGTTATAAGGCTCATCAGGGAAAATGTCAAGGCAACTCGAGCGATTCTTGTCATAAAAGTCAAGACAGAGTTTTTCTGTAGAGGCTGAAGCTGCAAACCGAATCCAGTGGTCCAGCTCAGAAGCATTGACTGAGGTTAATGGGAATCTGATAGTGAATTCCTTGATTCTATTGCCATAATGATTGCGCAAAAAGCCATTCGTTTTGCGAACAAACTTTGTTACTTGAGCTTTCCGCAGACATGGTTTTTGATGGTAATAACAGATTTCTGACTCTGGCATCCTGAGACTATAGAGGTCAAAGATGAGACAGTCAACGTTTTTCCAGAGGTGTCTCCATCTAGTGGAAAGACAGTCAGTCATTGCAGCATCGCTTACTGTCAGCAGGGAAAGAATTTTGATTAAAATGTCATCTGGCAATGTACTGATCCAATCACAGTTCTGCAGAAGAAATGACATGTTAGGTATAAAATTAGAAACCATGTTAAGATAACATTTTACAACTTATTTTACCACAGAAAACGTTAATATCATGGGTGTCAGGGCTTGATTACACTGTCCATTGAGCAAAATTAACAACATGCTATTAGTTTCCTCGCTAATCTACACTTCGAACTTACAGATAATTGTAAACAACATTTCCAAAAAGATAAGTGTAAACAAACATAAAAAAGAGCCCCTTTTTCTAACTAAACCACTTTCCATTAATACATACTATTATTCCGTATGTGTCTCTCTGATCAATACAGCAAGTGGAGGCAACAAATCAAACAAATACAGTGTAAAAACATTAGTAATTTCTTACAAGTAATGGGAAGCTTTTAATACTATGTAGTTACACCACTGCAGACTTGAATTGTTCAACCAATGCATAATGCATAATTAGGCCACTACTTGTTTACGCCTCAAGGTTAGGTGTGATTTTGAAATTTGGTACTACTGTCAGCTCAAAACTAGTTCAAAAGGTAGTAAATCAAATATTCGAGAGATAATCCTTTGTGGAAACATAAATATCTTCTAACCATTCTGCTTGAGCCGAAATAACTCTATATTGCTCAACCTCCCTTCATTTATTTATTCGAAGTATTCAAACTCCAAGCAAACTGCGTTGGTGGACTAGCATATACAGCTAACTATTGTATTCAAGCAGAAGAAATTATATAATCGTAACAATTTTACAAATCCCATGCAGAAAATGAGTGCAAGACTTTCCGCTGAAACAACTTTGCATGTATTTATTTTTGAAACACATGTCAAAATGACTACACTTAGGCAGATAGTAATGCAGTAGTTCAAGATGATACCTGGACAGTCTGCTCAACATCTTGCGTGCACATCGTCTTGTTTAGGGATCCACTACAGGGCGACATAGCATCGCGTGACGGCTCATGTGCATGCAACTGATGCGCTGTTGACATAATTGGAGCATCATGATCACGCATGCGCCGTTGCGGCTTGGCGGATTGAACGACACGCCATTGTCGCGCTGAATGAATAGCCGGGGAAGGTTTCCGCAGTTTAAATTGCCACTTCTTCATTGCGAAACAATCATCTAGAGAAAGAGATAATGATCCAGAGTTACACAACTCCATAGTTTCTATGTTCATGTGCAGTTCAATGTAATAAAGGCAGAGTCTTCCCCGCATTAAGAAAGGGTAGGATCCACACTTGTGGTGCTGATGTTTACATAGATTTAATATACTCCTTGCCAGTACAGATAAAATTAACGCCACAACACAACTAAATGGATTACGTTCCATCTTAGATTATTTTTACATCTTTTCATCATATAGTCATATATACCAAAATCAGGGAAGTTAACAAACCAAGCAAACACTCCGCTGAATGGTTCATCAGTTTCTGCTTGAAAGTTAGGTCTTAGAAATAACCTTAGTATTAATAGGGTCTCGGTATTGTTCCACGGATATTCACTGACAAGTCCCCTTTCTTCAATGAAAAGCAGAGCTCCTGCTTGTTATACAGTCTAAAAGCTGGAGAATGCAGGTTATGGTTTCCATCCCCAATTGCTAATCTAGAGGGTGCAAATAGAAATCGATCCACAGCCAATTCGTATTGGCAAGCACTTAACTTGTGGAATCATACTCCGATTTGTTCCTTTAAGCTAAATAAACAAAGACATAAATTTGCTCCAATTAGCTTCCAATCCTACACCATGACAATCCCACCACCACGCATAAACCTACACCATGGCAATCCCACCACCACGCATAAACCGAACCACTACCAATTTCTTCGCGATAGTTAAAAACCGAACCTATGGCATCGAAATTAAGCTCCAGATTTGTGCTCTTGGCACCTCAAGTCCTCAACTCGTTGGCAGCAAGGGGAAAAAAGAAGCATGCCTCTCGATGGATCAGCACCGGCACCATAGGAATCGCAGAAATAGAATCCACACGTAATGCGTAAGCTCCTTCTATCCAAGTGTATGGTTCGAGTTTAGAAGCCCTAGAGTCTGTTCCCCTCTGTATCCGACCAAACCCTAAGTAAACCCCTGCCTCTCCTTCTGGTACGGGTCAATGGACTTCTCTCATCATCTAAGAGGGAACGACCGAGGCGTTTCATCGGATAGAGCCATAGAGGGAATAGAGCAGAGACGGTTACCTCCGGTGGCCGGTGGCGTCGCTGGCGCCGGCGACGACGGGGACTCCATGTCCGTACGGGCTGCTTCAACTTTTTTTTTCTCCCAGAGAGAAGAGACAGGGGCAGAACGGGTTCTCTTACTTCCACTGGGGGCGGAGAAGGCGCGTGGCTCTAACTGTTTACCGGGCCTGGCCTAGTACTTCGTGTCCGTTGCTAATTGCACCAGCAACTAGCCAATTATTAGGGCACATGTACAACAGTTGGTAAGATAGTTTTATCTTAAGGCTGGTCATAGTGGGGAGTAACTTAGATTAGTAATATGTATATGTTACTAGGCTATGTTACTACCTCTATAGTGGGTAGTAACATATATGTAGTGTCATGCATCACTTCATTTATTACTTCATATACTCATTTAGCATTGGGAACCGCTAGGTGATGGTAACATATTATGTTACTCTATTTGTCTCTCTCCTCATTAACTACTTGACACATCATCACTTATGCTTATGTGGCATCTATGTTACTACTTATGTTACTCCCACTATGACCAGCTTAAGAGGGTGTTTGTTTCCAGGGACTTATTGTTTTAGGAACTTAAAAAAGTCTCTATAAGTCCCACCTAAACCAAACACAAGGTACTTATTGTGGTGATTTGGGACTTATCAAATAAGACTCTCAGGGAGGAGCTTATTGGGACTTATCGCGGGCCGGACCTACCCCGCGTCGCTCCAGGCTCATTCCCCGCACGCCGCCTGCCTCTCGGTCCAATCGCCGCCGCCGCCCCGCCTCTCGCCCCGTCGTCGCCCCGTCGCCGCCCCGCCTCGGTTCGTTCTGCCTCGGTTCGCCGCCCCGTCGCCGCCCCGCCTCTCGCCCCGTCGCTGCCCCGCCTCGGTTCATTCTGCCTCGGTTCGCCGCCCCGTCGCCTCTCCGCCTCGGTTCTGTCTGCCTCAGTTCGTTGCAGCGGTGTCTTCAATCACCGGACAGGCCCTCTCCTGAGCCTCGTTGCAGCGGTGCAACATGGACTTATAAGTTTCTGTAAACAAATAGGTAGGGACTCGGGACTTATAAGTCCCTGTAAACAAACAAGTAGGGACTTATGACTTATAAGTTGGGACTTAAAAAAGTCCTAGGACTTATGAAACAAACAGGGCCTAAGTCTTACATGTAATTTAGAGATGACAACAAAAATTTCTATAATAGACCATCTCTTAGTCTTATCTTTAATAACCCACTCTCCCTAAAAATGTGATGAGACATATTGTGCTAAGAGATCATTTCTTTTCTTCTCTTAAATAAATAAGAGAAGACAAACTTTTTCTTATGAGTTCTCTCTCCTTCACCTCATAATCATCATATGAACAATGAATTCAAAAAAAAAAGTAAATATTTTGTAAAAAATATGATTTTTTATGTTCATGTTAATGTAAAAAGAGTGCTTGACAAATCTCACGCGAAACGAGATAGCAGTTCGCCGTTGATGAAAAAACAAAATTAGATGTAACATTTGACGTTCGTCTTGGTTTTTTTCGCATAACTCAAAATGCTTATGCTTTGCCCATAAAGATTTCTTGATGGTATTGTGACAGTGAACATATTTTTACAAAAATAATTAACATGTAAAAAAAATATTTTTAACACACACGAGCATATGCTTCCAAGAGCTGAATTGGATTCCGTAAATCTTCTCTCCTATATAAAACAAAGGTAATGTTCCCTGTTTCGCCCCTTTTTATTAGGCCAACTCCATAGTGTGAGCCATCCATGACCCATCCGGACATCCGTTTTTGTCTGTTTGAGGTGCGATTTAGCGGATGTCCAGAGAGGCGGATAGTCGTATGGGGCATCTACACCCAACGCGCATAAGGCCTATGGGACCTCATACTGTCCGCCTCGCTTCGTCCCAAGCTCGCCATGCCGCGCCGTGCATACCCCGAAGCCTCACCGCGAGCTCACCATGCCGCCTTGCGTGAACCCCCGTCGCCCCAGCCTCGGCCTCGCCCGCCTGCGCCCGCGCCCGCACCCCGCCGCGCCGCGCCACGGCCGCGCCTCGCTGCGCCCGCGCCTCGCCGCCTGCGCCCGCGCCCGCCCGCTTGCGCCCGCGCCCCGCCTGCTTG